TCACTTGCTGCCCTTTGAAGACTGTATCCCCCAATATATAGAAAGATATATATATATATATATATATATATATATATATATATATATATAATATACAGAGACTATAAATGCATACATATTATATAAATAGATAAATATTTCTCATTCAGAGCACATTTCCCATTTACTAGCAGTGCCCCAATTACAGTGGTTTACCAAAGTAAAAGTTTATATCTTGTTCGTACCAAGTCCAGAGTGGGTTGTGGCAAGATGGCTGGTAGTGGGCTTGGCTCCATGCAGTGATGCAGGGAACCAGCCTCCTTCTGTCTAGGAGTCCCCAGAGCTTGGAGCCTCTCTGTGAAGCCTCTATATTCAGCCCATGCATGAGTGAAATGATGACTTCTGGATAAAACCTGAGTACTCCAATTGTATATGTAGGTTTTATTGAACCAGTCTGGCAGAGCACACACTACTTCTACCCAAATCCAATGACCACCCCCCCTGCATGTGCAGACAAACTGACAAAGGGTGTCTACATGTAGGTTTAGCTGGAAAAGCACACAGAATTGGCTGTACCACACAGGCTTCTTTGCTACAGACAGACAGCTGCTCACTTAGATCTTTACGTTTCCCTTAGCACAAGTACTCAGGAATCTTCAGTTTTGAGTCTTGGTACTTGAAATTGGGAGGATGAGGGTGATGACTAATGGAATTGAATTCTTATTAAAGAACTGTTTGTTTTTCAGTTAACAATGAGCTTTCTATATATATTTTTTAAGACTTACAGGGCATTGAATTTACAGTCTCTCAGCACTCCTTGGGCTTTTCTAGGAAGAGCATACCTGAAGACAGAATTATAATGCAAAGAACTTGTATTTGCTTCAGCTTGGTCAGTAGACAAAAGCTGATGGGTCAGTCTTGTGAACAGCAAAGAAATGATTAGTGTGTGATGAGGTGAGGGTAGATGAACATAAGATCTCACATTTATTCCATTGGAATGATTCGTGTTCCCAAACATGAGTCAGTAGGCTGGTGCTCTGATATAGATCCAAAATGTCCCCAGAAGTCTTTTCTTTTGGGAAGTGGTTGAGTTATGGGGCATTATACTCATCAGTGGATTCATTCATTGATGAGCTCAGCCCTGAGTGTGTGGTTAGAAAGTGGGTCCTGGTGTGAAGGTCACGGGCAGTGTGATGTACTTGTCCCTGTGTTCTCTCTCTCTCTCTCTCTCTCTCTCTCTCTCTGTCTCTTTCTCTCTTTCTCTGTCTCTCTGTCTCTCTCTCTCTCTCTACTTCCTGACTACAGAGGTAAGCAGTTGTACTTTACTGCACCTTTCTACCATGCCATGTCTGCCTTGTAGTCAGCTGATCATAGACTGAACCCACTGAAGACGTAAATGCAAAGCCACCTCTCTCCCTTTATGTGTCAAGCGTTGGATATTTTGTACCTGCCTGGGAAATATGATTAAAATGCTGGCAGTATAGCTTGGTGGTAGCATATGCTTAGCATGGACAGATCCTAGGTTTGGTGCTTAACACTATAAAAAACAAAATAACTCATGGCCGTCCATGGACATGATGGGACCATAGTAGGTTCAGAAAGCGAACACCATAGTGTAATCCAGTAACTCCTTAGTAGTATGACTATTTTTTAACAGTGTAAAGAAGTCCTCGGAGAAAAGTTGGAAAGTGGGGAATTAGGGACACAAGACAAAAAATTTAAAAAAAATTGGTCCTCATAGAAACTAAATTTCCTTTACTGTCCTAAAATGGAGTGAATCCCAATAATGACAAGTTAAATTTTCAGTCAGTTTTTCTGGCTGGAGCCATCAAGTCAGAATTCTTTTCCTATAAAGAAAATGAAAAAACATAGCAATTCTTTCCCATCTGAGATTCATGTCTTAGAGCCACAAAAACCTTAGTTAAGAGGATGTTAGTGAAAGTCCCCCTTGAACAGTGAGAAGGACGCAGGAGGTTTGGGGTAGCGGTGGAAGGTACCGAAGAGGGGTAGGGAGAGAATACTTAGAGAGCTACCATGTTTAAAGTGTGGTCTGTGGACCTCAGGGACCTCAAATTCCCTTTCAGGATCCAGAAGTTCAAAACTAGCAGAACAATAATACCAGTACATGATTTCCTTTTTCACCTCATTTCTCACTCTCTGAGTGTACAGAGGAGTTTTCTATAGGCAGCAAACAGAATAAGAAGACAATATGAGTATCTCACTGTCTTCTGCTAAACCAGGCATGACAGAGATTTATAAAAATGTAAAACAATGCCAGTCTCCTCACAAAATTCTTTTGTTGCATATTTTTTGACCAGTCCAGTTGTGAAACTATTTTTTTTGTTTTACTTTTTATTAGTACATATTCATCATACATATTGGTCACACTCATCACAGGAAATTTGGACCTGTACACAATATATTGACTCCTTTTTCCCATTCCCATCCCCTCCCCTCAACCCCTCCTTCCATCCCTATTTACAAAACCTTTGTTTCCATCTTTCACCCTTGTTTCTTTTCCTTTTCCTTCCTTCCTTCTCCTTCCTCCCTTGTTCCCCTTCCCATTTGAAAATATTCCTCCTACTGCCCAGTATCTTTCCTCCATTAGGCCTCCTCTTTACCCCTGGAGTTTCTCTTTTGTTTTATAGTCTATGGTTCATTTTCATAAAATACTTATATTACATTGCTTTTTAAAATTAAATTAACTATACATACTTTTAAAGAGATCTCTGCTTTAATTTGTAATACAGTAAACATCACCTATCTATGTATCTACCTCACATTAAGGAAAAGCAAAAACTTTTGTAGCAGCCTGGATTATTTTTAAGAGTGTGAAGAATTCCTGGCACCAAAAGCTAGACGTTGGTGTACCAGAGGATCCAATCACAGTGGAGAAAAATGAAGTTCTGCCATTAGTGGGCAAATAACTTTAGAGAGTGTAGGGCACTGAAGATATAGGTTATTTCTGGAGGAGAATCTGTGGAACAGCTGTAGTAATTAGCTAGGGGCTAGTGCGCTACACTGTCACAGGTTGAGTGCTAAACATTAATACCAGTCTGCTCAGCCACTTGTAAACCTAAAAAATTGCAATACTGCCATCTAGTGTTCAAGAATGAAAATATTTTAATATTTATTTTTCATTTGCTTTGCCATGATTATTTCAGAACTAAATGACTCTAGCTGCTGAATTTAATAGTTTGACCTTCATTTTTGATGTGGACCCATCAGGTGCTTTTAAATGTGTTAATTATCTTTCCTCCTTGGCTTTTATATTTAAGCTCTTCTCTTTTTCTTTGGGTTAGGATGGCTGAAGAGGGTAGGATTTCAACCTCTGCCTCCTTCCAAACCTTACGTTCCCGGCCTTACACAACGTAGGATGGTTCAGTGCATGCTTGATGACACCTAGTCTTTTGCCTAATTTTCTCTCCACAGGCTTTTAAAAGGTTTTGGATCAATCTTAGCTTTATGGAAAAGTTGCAAGAGTAGTACAGAGAATTCCCATGGATCCCTCTTCCAGTTGCCTGTGATCTGTAGGACCATGATACACCTGGAAGGAAAGTCCCACACTGAGTGCATGTCTGTAACATTTCAAAAACAGAAGCTTGGGGAACAGCAAAGAAGGGCTGGAACAGCAAAACAGATTATGTGTAAAGTATCGAGACTCTGATTGCCAACAAACTGCTCAACTGCCACGCTGGAAACTTTAGAAATATACTAAAGCAATGCCTTCAAAATTCCAAGTGCAAATTACTTGTCATAAAATTCAGTAATAAGTAAACCACGTATCAAGTATGATGTTTGACTAAAGACAATTTCAGAACTACAGCCTGTTGAAATTTTTGTCTTCCATGTCCCCTTTAATAAAAAGTGATCTGAGGATTTGTTTCCTGGAAAAGAAGCAGCACAAAGTGAAAAGGACAAGAAAAGAGATGATGGGACCTCCCTGAATGATGTGATGGGGATCAGGTGGCCTAAAAATAAATGTGGAATGGGACAGGGAAACAGAGTTGCTTGACGAACTCAGAGATTTATAATTCTATCAGAGTGTTCAGGAATGAATTAGTAATATGTGTAGAGAAAATTAAATAAGTATAAAGAGCAGACAGTTGATTAGTTCCAGAGAAAATAAAAATTTGGCCTGGCATGGTGGTGCATGCTTGTAATCCCAAAATTTGGGAGGCTGAGGCAGGAAGATTGTCTCAAGTTTGAGGCAACGCTGGGGTATATAATGAGTTCAAGGTCAACCTCTGACTCAAAAACAAAAAGCAAAAATAAAGTTGCATGTGAGCATGGCATAATACATGGCCCAAGTCTGAATTTTTTATGTGTGCTGCTAGGGATTGAATTTAGGGCCTTGTATATACTAGGCAAGTGATACACCACTAAGCTACACCACCAGTGCTGATCTTTGAATTTTTGAATCGTACATAGTCTTAGTAGTTTATTTAAATATAAAAGATATTTTTTGTTGGATGGATGGGTTAAAGAAGGCAAAAGAGAGAGGGAGAGGGGTAGCGTAAGGCAGAAAAAGAGAGTGAGGGAGGGAGAGAGAGAAAGGGAGAGAAACATGATGCTCTAGATCTTCTATTCTTACATCCAGAAGTGAATAGTTATCTAATATTTAAAAGAAACTTAAAAACCAGCGGTATCAGCCTATTATTTAAATAACATGGGAACGAATACCAGAAGACACAGTTGAAAATGGGTCATATCTAGGAAAAAGTGATCGGGAGTTGGGAGGAATTGGCTAAGAGAAAGTTTTAGTAAACTATATAACTTTAATAAACAATATCCATGCATTACATCAAAAGTGAAAAGACTAACTTAGCACTGAGGTGCATCTGGGAAGGGCTGGAGAAGAAAATATAATTGCTTACCTTGCACACGGTGACTGGCATTCTCAGCGAGGCTGTGGTCAGTTGAATGAGCCTGTAATCTGTCTCCCTTCTTGTTTGCACATACGTGTGCATGTTGGCACTTTGCTCTGGGGTGAGAGTTCACTTCATACTTGCGCAGTTACTTGGCTCCTCTAGCTCCAGGGTGTTGAGCTCCTGTTTGCAGCTTCTGGAACCATGGCTTTCCCGGCAGGATTCGGTTGGGGGGCAGCCACTGCAGCGTATCAGGTGGAAGGTAGGAGAATCGGCCTCCCTTGTGCCAGAGCTGGAGTGGACTTCTGCTTCTGGTGCCTTCTGCATGGCTGGGGAAGTGGGGAGTTTCAGGAGCCAAAAAGAGAGGAAAGAGAAGGATCGAAATGTCCACAGCTGGGGAAATCAAACTGTGCTCCCCTCCTTTGTGGATAGAGGCAGCTCATAGTCCCTTCTCTCTTTGCTTAGGCATAAAAGGTGGTAGGATGTGGAGATGGAGACCAAGCTCAGCTGTATTTTCACTTAGTCTAAGCCTACTTTAGTCACAGTACACATGGAATGAGGTGCTTTTGTAATTGGTTCATGAATATATTTGCCCCAACCCCTGTTAAAAGACAGTAGTTTCTCCTACTGGCTGGAGAAATATTAAATAATTTCCTTCATTAGTTGAGAAAAGTGCCCTGTTCTGTTTCTAATGAGCACAAAGGCAAGCCAAATGTTTCACAAGGTACCTCACTTCCTGGGGAGGCTGAGAAGTAAAGGGAAATTACCTGATGGGAAAGAGAACTCAGGAAGGATTTGGAGTCTGAGCTGTCTCTATCCTACCATGTGTGAGTGCGTGAGTCATTATCCTCTTCGAATCTTGCTTTCCTCATCTGTAAAACAGGAAGACTAGATTTACTTTTCTAAAACACACATCTCCCCTGACAAGGAATGAAGAATTGTTGATAGCTACCACAGGGATAATATTTATTTGGTCAGATAAAGGTGAGAAACCTTGGGTTTAACAAGGCCCAGTGAGTGTTTTGTGGTGGCTCTCTCAGGCTACTGAGATGAATTACCACAAGCTGTGAGGTTTAAACAAGGAGAGTGTATTCTCTTACAGTTCTGGAACTTGGCAGTAGCCATTGAAAGATATAATTAGCTAAATTAAGATGAGATCACACTGGAGTAGGGTGGACCTGTAATCCAACAAGACTGATGTCCTATGAGAAGGAAATTTGGACACAGAAAAATATTTGTAGAATACCTTGTACAACAAAAGCAGAGACTGGAGTGATGCAGCCATAAGCTAAGAAACTTCACAGGCCAGTGACTATGTCCAGAAATGAGGAGGTAAGGAAACATCTTGTCAGCGAGATGCTGAGTGGGAGTGTGACCCTGAGGCTACCTACCTTGAGTTTGCGCCTCTGGCTCTAGAACTGAGAAGAACATATTTTTGCTGTTCCAGATGCTCATTTTTATGATATTTTTTTACAGCATTCCTAGAAAATGCATAACACACTAATAAGAATAGGTAAGTCAGTTAACGAAATCATTACCTCTTATGATGAGTACCAGGATGATAAGACGGTATTGTGGGACAGGCTCACACAAAAGTGGCTTCTTTAGATTGCACAGTCAAAGAGGATCTCTGTGACTCAGTGTCATTTCCTCTCAAAGCTAAAGAATGAGAAGAGCCATTTGTAGGGTGGAGGTGGTGTGAAGTTTTTTGAGTGGGGAGGGAGGAAGGTAAGTACAGGTCAATCCTGGCAAGTTCCATGCTCCCTACAATTCCCAGCATCTATTGCTGTTTTCCCAGACCTGCTACAGTCGCCATAACTGGCACATGGAATATGTCTCCAGGGGGACAGTATGTATTATTTTCTGCTCTGTGATGCTATGCACTTTTTAGAGAAGGTCTGAAGATATCCTAGTAAGCCAGAAATCTGTGCTACCTTTCTTACTACACGGTATCTTCTTTTGTCTTCTCCCAGATAATTCCTTTGTGGCCAGGGTGGCAGATTTAAATAGACTGGAAAGCAAAAGGGAATCTTTGTTAGATTTCTTCTCCAAAGGGAGGTTGGACAGATCAGAGAGGAGTAACAGAGCACTGGGATGGGTGAATAGAATCAGGTCCTAGAAGCACTAGAGCTTGGTGGTCATGAGGATGGGCCCAGGAGTCAGACTTCTCAGGCTGGGGGTCTGTGTTTACTTTTTACGGGCGTTGTGACTTTGGCAAATTACTCAGCTTCTTAAGCAGCATAACACAATACAACTTTGGACATAATATGTTTAGCAGTTTATTTGAAGAAAGGAAGGTCTCCCGAAGTGAGCAGCACCCTGATCCAGGACAAGTTCAGAGCCCTCAACCCAGCAATGTAGAAAGGCAGAACGTATGACAGAAAATGAAGTGACCTATAGAAGTAGCTTGATTGGCTACCACTCAGCTCTCACCATATTGGGGTACAATTTGTAGCCTATGGCTGGCTGAAAGCTAGGCTGTGAAGGTTGGCCAAGAATTGATTACTTGTTACAAGAATATACTCTGAAGTTAGATTAGAGCTTGTCTACATTTTAAGTAGATTATAATTCTCTATGTATGGAGGAAACTAAAGGCACAAGTTAATTGAATTCAGTTTTCTCCTGGGGGTCAGCCTTTCAGGTTTGACTTTGGTTGGGTACTGGTAACTCTTTTGGTTATCAGTACAATGGACGTATTTGATCTCAGTACAGATTTCAGAATTCATGGTGTCACATTAGTTGGGTGATTCTTTATGCTTTTCTCATCTTTCTCTTATTGTAGCCAGAATGACAGAACTCATTGTTCAAAAAAGAGCTGAGTAAATGCATTTAAGACTCTTGCAAGTGTACAACATATCAGGGAGAATATTATGGTGGCTATCAGAACAATAATACCAGGGAATTAAACTGCTCAAGGTCTCCATAATCTCAACTTATCGATGCAAACAACCCAAAGTTCAAGGAATAAGGAGAATTCAGCAGTGTTCAAGTCCATCTGGTTATACTCTTTGGGATATGACAACAATTAAGGATCAAAGTCTCCACAAAATGATCTGATTTAATAAGGTATTGATTTTTATAATTAGCCTGTTTACACAAGTCATATTGACATAGGAACCCACTAAAATAAACATAAAGATTGGAAAACCTTGGAAGAGCCAAGCTTTCTACCTACCATTCAGAAAGACTCCAAACCAACTGTTAGCAATTCCCCTAAAGGCATTATGTATTTCTTCTGGTGACAGTGTGCAGAAAACCAGTAGTATCCACTATCTTTTAAAGTAAATTTTCTGCAGTAGTAAAACCTCAGAAAGGTAAGTGCAACCTTCAGTTTTGTTCAGCTCCACACATGAACCTTCAACATGGGCAAAGAGGAAATTTAAAGCTGTGTCGTACATGATTGTTTTTTGTTGATATTTTCATCCACCTTCCAAAGTATGGCTTTGAACTGTTGGATCCCCTGGAAGGTGTGAATAGCTATAAAACACCCCAGGTTTCCCCCAACTTGTGGGTTAGCTTTTCACTTGCAAGCAACTGGCACTCCACCTCCAGTAAAAGTGAGTCTCAAAGAGCCCCATTGGGACCTCCCCTCAGGGCAAAGAAACAAATCTTTATTTCCAGGTTGATACTAATTTCAGTTGTTAACTGCTGTGGACTTTGCTTATGGGCGGTTTTAAGTGTACTATCAAAGAAAACTCTTTGGGAGAGAGGAAATCTTTGGAAAACTCTTTGAACCCAGTCAAAGAGCTTCAGAATCAGAAGGGAGGTGCAACACACTAAACAAATTCTCCAAAGATGCAGTATCTGGTGACGGTGAACATTTCAGAGACGAGTGTCCAATCTGCAACCCAAAACTCACGTATTTATTGCCAAGTGCCAACACTGCAATTAAACTTGCATACTAAGGTTTTAGTTTAGAAAAACATCTCATATGTTAGCACTTTTTGTCTTACAAGAAAAACAAATACCATCTGTGCCATAGGTTCACCGCCACTGATAGGCCCCCAGTGTTTGGAAAACAGGGACACCTAGTGGCGTTTGAGCAGAGGTGAATTAAACTTGTTTGCCTGTAAATCCGTTTAGCTTCTGAAAAAGGTCCAGGGGAAAAACTTTTTGGTGATTTCTTTATTTATCCTTGCTCAGTTCAGACTGGAGCAACCTTAGCGGGTCCACTCTGACCTCCCGTCTTCTGGAGGCCGCTTCTCTCTGTTTGCCCCGAGGCAGGTTGTCTCTTGTTCTTCTGCCCAGGGCTTACTCCTTCCTTCCGTTAAGGCCTCTTTGTCTGTGGCCCCTAACTGGCTGTTGTGCTATTAGCTTTCTCTGGAGAGCTTCCGCGGTGGAGAACTTGAGCCAGTGTGCTCTGTCAAGAGTGCTATTTTTGTCAGCTCCTAGAATGACTCTTTTGTGTTTGCTTGTTTTCCAGTCTCTGAGTGCTGGGTTTGGGTCCTTGCTCAAGCACTTACTAGCAGAGTCAGGGCAAATAATTTATTTGGGCCTCTGTTTCCTTATCTGTAAAGTAGGAAAATGTATGGTCTTGCCCATTCTGTAGATTTGTCCTAGGATACATACGTAATGGTAAAACGAGAGTACCTGGCACGTAGAGCTCACTCAATTCTAACACCCATGCGAATACCAACAGTATAATTTTTTCCTTTTGTGATTACACTTGCTGATGAGAAATTTAGGTTACCTAGTCCAGTCAGAGGGAATGTCATTTCTTGTTGTGATGGAAAATTAGAACAGATTCCCACTTTTCTCCCTCCTGCCATCTCTTCCTCCATTGCCAGCATTACAGACGCAGGAAGTCAGGAAGTACATGGCTTTGTTAAATCATTGTGGCCTGTGATACCAGCACTCAGGAGGCTGAGGCAGAAGAATCACTGGGAGTTTGAGGCCAGTCTGGGCTAGATAGTGAGTTCAAGGCTAGCCTGCACTGCAAAACAAGACCATCTCAGAAAAAAAAAAAATGCTGAGATCAGCCTGTCACTTTTTGGTGTTGAGAATGTTTGAACTTTTGTGCTACCCTGGCCTCTGAAAATCTGTAGAGACTTTGGAAGATATAAACATTGAGGAGAGCTGAGAACTGATCAGGAATTGCATTTGTATTTTTTTACTTTATTTTATAAAAAAAAAGAACAGTAGCAGCATACCAACATCACAGACGTAAACAAAACAAAGCAAGAACATTAAAAATGATACAGGGTTTCATAACAAAATGATAGGAATTAACAGTGGTTGTTATATTACATACTGTTATCTTCA